ATCTGAGTCAGCCTTCAGCATGCTGCCACCACCATGCCTTCTTACAACCAGCCCATAGGGTAGCATTGTCTGCCAGCTTCCTCCTCCATAGTCCTGGCGTTGCTGGGGAGGATGGGAACAAAATTAGAATGAGTTTGCTGTGTCTACCATTGGCTATAGCACCACCTACTGTTCACCTCCCTGCCTTCTGCCCCACCAGTCCCAATGGGCACCAGCCACCACTGTTTGCGATATCCAAGCGCATCCTCCATGCATATCTGGATTATGACAACGACAGGCGTTTCAGTGGTAGACAATAATGAGGCCGATCAGAAGCAAAAAGGCATGTCTTCTGCAACCCCAGTGCAGCCACTCTGTCCTTGATGTGTCTTTCCCCTCACTTCAACAGCAACAAACTCAAAAGATCTGCTCCCTGACTTCTCCATCTGCAACAACCTCGTTCATGCTCTTCCTTGCTCCCTTTCACAACCCAGTCCTCTGTTTATATATCTGTCCCTCCCTCTTCTCTTTGGAATCACGCTAGGAGACTGCTGCCTGTGATTCCAAAACAATATCGGTTTGTTTTGAGGTTTATGCCGCCGATCTATTTTTGTGAAATCTCTCTCTTTAATCCGTTGCCGCCCTTGCTGCTGCCTCCTTTGAAACCTTTCTGCTGGAGCCATTAACCTGGCATTCTGGAGGGGGGAAATTCTTCTAAGGCAAGCTGTTCAATGAACAGCTCCGCTTTATCCCCATGCCTTCTGCCAGGATGGCCGTTGGTCACATCAAAGTCGTTCCATTAGGTGGCAGTCTTACAGAAATAATAAGAGCACCAACCCTCCCCGTGCGCGTATGTATATCTCTGTGTGCTTTTATATCTCTTTGTAGCATACACATCTCTACGTTTCTCCAGGCAGGCCTGTTTATTTAACTTCATTGTGCTGGGCTATATTTAGCGCAAGCCACTGCCACTTTCCTCCAAATGTCAAAAAGAGAAGCCTGGAAGAGCAGATTTAGTTGCTTTTCAAACGCAACATAATGGTGCATCCAACATTGCCCACCTGTGTACTGAAATGAGTATTTCTGTCCATGGAAAGGTTTGAGAACCAGTGGAGACCTCCAAGTATTGAAATTGAAATGGAAATACTTTATTGTCACTTCTACAACTTGTATACAGTGAGATTACATGAGACCCCCCACTCAGCTCTCTTAGTCTTAATTCCCCTCGTTTACTGACGCACACACACCAAACCCGAAAGTCAGTTGCCCTGTTGTTATCTTTTCGTTCCGCAGCCTAACAGCCCATGGATAGAAGCTGTTCTTTGCCCTGTTGGTGCAACTAATCATGCTTCTATATCTTCTGCCCGAGGGCAGGAGATAAAGAAAGTGCCAGCCAGGGTGTGAATCATCCCTGAGAATTTTCCTCACTCTCCTGAGGCAACGTTCTTCTGCTATTTCATCCAGCGGATTCACAGGGCAGCCCATAATATCTTGTGCTGTATTCACCACCCTCTGTAGGCACTTCCTATCCAATGATGTCAAACCAGCGTACCACACCATGATGCAGTATGAAAGGACACTTTCTATTGTTGACCAGTAGAAGGAGATCATCAAATGTTGATTGACATCGTTCTTCCGCAATACTTATGGGGAGAAAGGATTTTCCCCACCCCATCTTATTTCTCCTCCATGTGCCACCTCCCACAGTGAACTGATGGGTACTCCAACTCCCCAGTGCAGTTTTTTCAGGGAGATGCAGGGTGGAGAGGGACAGCCCCCCCAAAACCCTCCTCTCATTCTGTTCTGAACAGGAAATACAATACTCATTTGGGGTTTGTGGGTGCCTTGACCCCCCAAAATTCCTGGATGTTGGAGTTTAATACATGCTCAGTGTGTTAAAATAAACTGCCAGATTCTGGATTTAGTGAAGTATTACAATATAGGCCAATCCAGTTCCCCATTGTAGAAATCGCCTGGGCATGATGGAGCATGATGGAGAACAAAAGGAAAATCATGGGCGTTTAACATAGCAAATACTCTGTGCCTGATGCTAGATGGGTGTGAGTCCCTCCTTCAACAGAGAGATAGTTAGAAGAGTTGAGTTTAGGATTGCGGTGGTGGTGACATTACCTAGAGGAAAGAGGTTTCCGTAAGTTGGAGCAGCCATGGAGGGCCATGGCTGATTTCTTCTGGCATCCAAGACTGTGAGCATGGGAAAAGCAAGAACCACTTGGAATGCTAATGCTGTAAGCCCCTGCATCACAGACTCAGGTTGTATATATGGGTAAATAAACCATATGTCATAAAGACACCACAGTCTATGCTGTGCCTTATTTCCTAGAGGAAGCACAAATCCAGGGTAATAGCTCTGGATTCTTGCACTGCTCAGAGACTTGGGTTGTGTGTAACAATACCTACACCTTTCTGTCCATTGGAATAGAGGAAGCTGCTTTATACTGAGTTCAGACAATTGGTCAGTCTAGCCCAGTATGGTGGAAATGCCCTAAAATATTTAAATTCTGGACAATGGTTTCACAAGAAATTGCTTAAATACTGAAACATCCTATACCAACTTCATTGTAGATTGGTTTACCGTGGTACCTTGGGTTAAGAACTTAATTTGTTCTGGAGGTTCATTCTTAACCTGAAACTGTTCTTAACCTGAGGTACCACTTTAGCTAATGGGGCCTCCTGCCGCCGCTGCGACGCCGCCACACGATTTCTGTTCTCATCCTGAAGGAAAGTTCTTAACCTGAGATACTATTTCTGGGTAAGCGGAGTTTGTAACCTGAAGCGTCTGTAACCTGAAGTACCACAGTACTAAATCTATGGGATGATCAACTGAAAGGTTTCAGCTCTCTGGAATGTGATATATATTTAAGAAGAAGAACCTATATTTGAATATGCATATGCTTTATACAATTTTCTGGATATGTCATTGATTATTTTGTACCTGTTTTTGAAGAAGTTCTGATTAGTAATGCTTTGAAACATAATTATGGGTCTGGACAATTTTTATTCCAAAAGGAGTCAGTTTTTATGTATTCAATTGCTTCAGCTGTGCAATATTAATATCCATAACAAATATTGCCCAGTGATGTTGGCTGACCCACCCAATAATGCCTTTTTATCTCCTATTTTGGAAATGTTGGTGGAAAAGGTGTATCAATGCCAGAAGGCACTCTAAAATGGGTATTCCCCCCCCCCATTGTGGAGCGAAAAATCCTTTCTGCATTTCCATTCCTTGAACATATGTCAAATAGCCTGAGGGCCGATGTGGGGGTAACGGTGAGGAGGCAATTTCTTCGAGTATATATTTTTGGCAGGTAAGGAACGTACTGTATTACTGGGATGATAAATGAACCTTTCAGAAACCTGTCGTGTATATAATTGCACATACAGACAAAACAATGAGTCGCTTATTAGTTCAAAGCAGCGTTGCGGGCAGCTGAACACAAAACAGCAACTGAGGCGGTTTCTTGTGGGTTTGCGGGAGATTAGATGGGGACACTGTTGCTTCGACCTGGAAAAGATTCCACACACACACACACACACCCCGCCTTTTGAATAGCAGTCAACTATTTCCATTGCTACGCTGTAAAAATGTGAACAAGGGTCAGCATTTTGGTGATTAGCGCAAGCCGGCTGCTCTCTTGGTCAACGTAGACTTCTGTGTAGGCCATGGGAAAGTACTTAACCCCTGACAAGCACATATTGGTGGCTCAGTTTGTAACGACAACCTACAAGGACTTTACTAAATGTACAAACCACGGTTGCCCTGGTTACTGGGTAGAAATCTAACCATTATATATGAAATCAGAAAGCAGCAGATAGTTGACTAAAGTCAGATTTTCAAGAACTGAACTTAAGACTGGGAAATAGAGAGAAACCAAAATTGACACATTTGCCCAGATTCCATAGAAGAGGAGGAGGAGGAGGAGGAGTTTGGATTTGATATCCCGCTTTATCACTACCCTAAGGAGTCTCAAAGCAGCTAAAATTCTCCTTTCCCTTCCTCCCCCACAACAAACACTCTGTGAGGTGAGTGAGGCTGAGAGACTTCAGAGAAGTGTGACCAGCCCAAGGTCACCCAGTAGCTGCATGTGGAGGAGCGGGGAATCGAACCTGGTTCACCAGATTACGAGTCCACCACTCTTAACCACTATACCACACTGGCAGAGTTTCAGTGTGACTGGATGGACTGTTCTGATTCAGACCACAGATGAAGGATGCCACTTCTACCTGCTCCCAGCTTGCAAACTGTTGAAAAAATGGTGGACAAAGGGAAACATTGCAGGCCATTCCTTTTTAGATTTTTACTGAATATGTAGTTCTAGCATAAAATTGCATCTCTGTATGTCTTTGCACGCCGTCATGGATCACTGCCTTGTCATGGCAAAGGATCTTGAATAACTCAGAGAAGCTATGAGCTATGCCATGCAGGGCCACCCAAGAAAGACAGGTCATAGCCAAGAGTTTAGTCTAAATGTGATCTACCCATAGAGGGAACCGGCAATTCACTCCAGTATCTCTGCCAAGAAAACTCCATGGACAATAACAACAGGCATATAAAAGTCAGAGTGCCTGGCGTGCTCTGGTCCATGGGATCACGAAGAGTCGGAATATGGACAATGAGAGCCAGTGTGGTGTAGTGGTTAAGAGCGGTGGACTCGTAATCTGGTGAACCGGGTTCACATCCCTGCTCCTCCACATGCAGCTGCTGGGTGACCTTGGGCTAGCCACACTTCTCTCAGCCCCGCTCACCTCACCGAGTGTTTGTTGTGGGGGAGGAAGGGAAAGGAGAATGTTAGCCGCTTTGAGACTCCTTCGGGTAGTGATGAAGTGGGATATCAAATCCAAACTCCTCCTCCTCCTCCTCCTCTTCTTCTTCTTCTTCTTCTGACATGACTAATCGACTAAACAACAACAACATGTCTTTGCTATCTGAATCATAGAATTGTAGAATTGGAAAGGGACCAAGAGGGTCATCCAGTCCAACCCACTGGAATGCAGGAATCTTTTGCCCAAAGTGGGGATCAAACCCATGACCCCAAGATTAAAAGTCTCATGTGCTACTGACTGAGCTATCCCTATTAACTTGCGGCACAGATGGCACAGCCAATATGGTGTCATCAGCTGAACATAAGGACCATGTCCTTCCTAAAAATAGCACCTGGAGAATCCAAGGAACACTTTCTTAATGAATGAATTGGCATTTACACACACACACACACACACACACACACACACACACACACACACACCAGTTGGATGACATTTTTACATAATGCCGTTTCCTATCTCCTTAAATAACATATCACTGCAGGCAAAAAATGAGAAGTGAAGAGAAATCCATGGATTTTCCCTTCTCCGCTGCAGGTTGAAAGTACTTCTATGAGCGCTGTCCAAAAAAAGAATTAAACTGGGCTCGAGTGCTAGGGAATTGCCCATTAGATAAAGCTCTGAGCAGATCAATAAGCCCAGCCACTGTGAACTGGCCTCCCCCAGGGCAGGGCTAGTGAGCTGCTGCTGGCAAAGATGGTCACCGATCCTTTAGTGATGAAATGTCAACTGGAAAGATATTCCTGCCTATCATGTCGGAGGACATTTGTTATGTTAAGCCCTGCCTTGAGAACAGATGAGCTTCTGAGCTCGCTGGCTGTGGTGTAGAGTGAAGAGGCACATAGCAAGAGAGCTTTGAACTGACAGAGGGCTTGAAACACTCACAGCTTGAAGTTCATGGCAGCTTAATTAGTTTCCCCGTCACTGGTCGTTTCCTTACTGCAGATCCTGTGATCACTTTCAAGCACTGACCGCAATATGCAAAGGAAATTCCAGAGCAGCCATTTATAGAAAAGGCTGTAGCTCAGTGGTTGAGCATCTGCTTGGCATGCAGAAGGCCACAGGTTCTAATCCCAGTAACTCCAGGTAGGGCACAGTGGCAATTGCCCCAGGCGCAAATTTGTTAGGGGCACAAAATTTCAACACCCGCTGCTGCCTCAATACAGCTGCATGCTTCCCCCACTGGGTTCTGTTGAAAACGACTTCTCCATGAGAACCAGGAACTGACCTCTCCAAATAATGGAATGACTCTTCTTTTCTTATCTCTGTGGTTGCAATCTTCTGGGTGACGCAGATGCCATTAGGCAATTGAATGCACATGCTTACGTCATCAATGTCCCTCTCCCTCGAACTCACCTCCTCCATGTAGCCCCGGGTGCTAGCAACCCAAGCTTATCCACTGATGCCCACCCACTGACACTTTAATATTAAAGTTGCACATTTTACATTTTAAAATTACTTAAAGTTAATCTAATCTAGCCAAAAGGTCTGTATAGTAAAAGCGATGGTTTTCCCAGTAGTGATGTATGGAAGTGAGAGCTGGACCATCAAGAAGGCTGATTGCTGAAGAATAGATGCTTTTGAATTATGGTGCTGGAGGAGACTCTTGAGAGTCCCATGGACTGCAAGAAGATCAAACCTCTCCATTCTGAAGGAAATCAGCCCTGAGTGCTCACTGGAAGGACAGATCCTGAAGCTGAGGCTCCAAGACTTTGGCCACCTCATGAGAAGAGAAGACTCCCTGCCATGGAAGAGACCCTGATGTTGGGAAAGACGGAGGGCACAAGGAGAAGGGGACGACAGAGGACGAGATGGTTGGACAGTGCCCAGGGGGTCACGAAGAGTCAGACACAACTAAACGACTAAACAACAACAACAACAACAATCTAGCCAAATTTAAGGAAGGTGGACCTAACCACAGCTCTTAACCACTGCGAGCTGTATGGCCTCTGCACGTTCCAATTTATTTTATTCCTGCGTTGACGGTTTTTAGCACTTCCTTTTTACTGCATGCAGTTTCATTGGTTATTACTGGCTTTATTGTGCTTTATGAAGTAAAGTATAGTAAACCATCCTGGGAATTTCTGTATTGAAGTGTGGTATAGAAATGTTTTAAATAAATACATACACAAATCCATAAATGCTGACAGGCACCATGTCTCTGAATGCCAGTTGCTGGATGGCAAACAGTAAAAGAGGTCTATTGTGATCACACTGCTTAAGGGCTTTCTTGAGGCACTTGATTGGCTATGTGGGAAGCATAATGTTGGACTACATGGACCTTTAGTGTAATTCTTCTTCTTTTTTGGTAAATAAATTTTTACTACTTTTCCAATATTCCCCCAATAATGGCCAAATTATAACAATATCAATTAACCGGACCTTTAGCCTAATTCAACAGGGTTTCACTCCACCATCTTTATTCACAATGGCATCTAACGGTTTCCAAACATAGAACAAAACACACTCATTGATCTCAGGAATCCTCATGCCGACTTGGACGGCAATATCACCAGAGGTGTCCAAACCATCACTGTTTGGAATGGTTCTGTCTACCAAGTTGATTCAAAATGGCACCCAATGGCATCCAAACATAGGCTGAAAACCTCTCATCAAGCTCAGGAACTGTCTCACCAAATTGGCAGTAGCTTCAGAGGTGTCCAAATTGGTGCACTTTGGAATGGGTCTGTCTGCCTTAGTCAGTAGAGCATAAGATTCTTAATCTCAGGGTTGTGGGTTTGAGCCCCACATTGGGCAAAAAGATTCCTTCATTGCAGGGGATTGGACTAGATGATTCTCATGGTCCCTTTCAACTCTACAGTTCTATGATTCAGAATGGTGTCCAGTGGTTTCCAAATGTAGACGACAACCAGCTCCTCCATCTCAGAAACTGTCCTGCTATATTGGGCAATGATATCTCAGGAGGTTTCTCAACACACAGAGAAGAGACAGGTGGACAAGCTACACCCCCAAATATACAGTAGTGGTAGAAGAAGATCTAGGATATCTCCTGAACTCCCTCCATCCACAGTGCCTATCACAATGAGGCACATTTCACCAGTATTATTGTGGAAAGGAAAAACTGCTCCTCTCTGATCTTTCCGTTATAAACACAGTGGCAACTTGAAGCCAAGAGAACAAAGGTGAAGAGGAAAAGCCATACAGATCATTCTGTGACGTGTTTTCCAAAGTAAATTTAGCAAATAATTGCAGAGTGTCAAATAAATCACTAGCTGCTTCTTGCTGATGGTGTTTCAAAACACTCTGTACAAACCCATCCCTCCCCAATTCTCCCTTCCCTTGTTAAAAGAGATCATAAACACAGAGCAGTACAGCCACATCCTCATTAACCCTGGCTTTACTAACATTGAAAACATTGCACACTTGATGGGGAGCTGAGCTGATCAAGTAAACTTTAATAAAGCTGAAGATGCCTTGGGACAACTCTTTCAGGGACTGGCTGAGTCTAGAGTGCCCCAGTAAGGCAGAAAACAAACCCCCACCCAGGTAAAAATATATATGAATTAACCAGCCATTAACACTGGAGCAATATACAAGGCAGTCCAAAATTTATTGAATTTTTAAAGCTAAGCTAAGCATGAACATCACAAAGTATTAAAGAAGAGAACTCCCTGTTCTTAATGAAGATTCCTTTTTTAAAAAAATAATATTTATTAATTTCCCACATAGACATATATACATCCATAACAAATCATACAAAGCAAAAGCAATAAAAGTAAAGGAAAGAGTAAAGGAAAGGAAATACAATATATTACAATTAAATAACAAGTTAAAATGTAAAACTTCCAATCATTCTCATTATACTGCTTATATTATCTATATTTTCTTGTACAGATTTATGTTATTTCATATATATATATATATATATATATATATATATATATATATGATATGATGGGTGGGGAATGAATGAATGAATGAATGATTATTGCACACAGTGATATGCATGCACTAAAGTTAGGTTATGTTTTGAATGCTCAGAACATAGCAGAGCTTTCATCGGAGCTTACACCACTAGCTTGATTGATTCCGAAATGGTGCACCAGCACCATCACAAGAAAAGAAATGCAGAATCTCCCTCTGAACCAACTGGACAGTACTGGCTTCCTCTCCTTCCCACCCCCCTCTCTCACAGACTCCCCTGCAGAGAAAAGCTTCCTGATTGACTGGGTCAAATGGGTGTTTTGACAAGCTGGGCCAATGGAGACGAGAGTTTTCAGAGCAGGAAAACAAGCGTCAGCACCTTCTATTTTGATCCCTCTGGTATACATGATTCAAGCACTTCTGACCTGGGGAATTTGTGAAATGCTACCCTTCCACACCTTTTAGCAAGAGAATTCTGACAGGCTGGAGAGGTGGGAAGGTGTGAGACTCTGGCTCGTCCAGAAGGGAACTGTATACATTTACTCCTGTACATCCTTGCTCTAGCAAAGGGGCAAAGGCCAGAAAATGGAATTCTAAGTTGTCACGACCCTCAGATTATAGATTCCTCTTCTCCAGAGGGTGAAATTGAGGGCTCTGAGTCAGAGAGTGAATTGCACAGAGGGCCACACCTAGAAACATGTATGTATGTATGTATGTATGTATGTATGTATGTATGTAATTTATTCCATTTCTCTCCTGCCTTTCCCCCAAGGAGCTCAAGGCAGGGTACAGTTTTCCTCCTTCTCCATTTTATCTTTACAACAACAACCTTGTGGCAGTGGCATAGCATGGGTTTCTAGCTCCCGGGGCCATGCAGAGAGGGGTGAGTGGCAAATAGATGGACTACACATGCACATTCAACTGCATAATACTGTCCTCCTCACCCTGGAGATGGCAGCCGCAGAGATAAGAAGAAAAGAGGCATTCTATTGATGGGAGAGGTCACTTTGTGGTTCACATGGAAATTCCGTTTTCAATGGAGCCCAGCCACAGAAGCGCAGAGCGGTATTAAGACAGCACCGGGTGTTGAAATTTCACGCCCCTAACAATTTTGTGCCTGTGGCAACTGCCTCTGTGCCCCCATGCTACACCACTGCCTTGTGGGTAGGTTAGGCTGAGAGTAATGACCCGCTGAAGGTCACCCAGAAAACTTCATGGCTAAGTGGAGGATCTGAACTCTACAGTTCTATGATTCCATGATTCTTTGGGGGAAACCTTGACGCTTTAAAGTGGTGATACACTGCTCTGAATGTATAGTGGTCTTCCTCCATTATGTTCTGCCTCCATTTCAGAACTGGACTTTTTTCTGGTAGTGTGCAATCTGAAGGTGACTTACAGTACTTAGCAAAGGGCCAGTTTGATTTAGTGGCTTGGATCCAGAAACCATAACCTCTAATCCCAATACAGTTGAGCGCTGACCGGGTGGCCTTAGGTCAGTCATCACTCACCTTCAGGCTGCTGTCTGGAAACATGGGATTAATAATAACCTGTCTGTGAGGCTTGCCATGGGACTATCTGAAATAAGAAAGCATTCATCTTTATTACCATTCTAAGCCTGGGAGCTGAAGAAAAAATTAAGCCAGGTCCTACACATGATATGGGAATCTGGGTTGTATTACAGTAATACCTCCGTGAACATCCGCCTTGTCTAGCGTCCATTCCGGCGAATGTCCATGACAAACCTGGAAGTACCGGAATGGGTTACTTCTGGGTTTGCTGCTCGCATATGCGCAGAAATGCTAAATCAAGCTTCGCACATGAGCAGAAGCGAAAACCGCTCTGTGTGCATGCGCAGATGCGGCGCTTTGCCCTGCGTCCTTTTCGGCTAGTGGCCGGGGCTCCGGAATGGATCCCAGCCGCAAAACAAGGTATGACTGTATTATTATTATTATTTCTTTGGGGGTTTTCTTTTTGTAATGAGAAGAGACATTTTGGAAGGGTGGCTTTTGTAATATTTTCTCCAAAATTCCAGGTCTTTTGCCACCACTTCTGGTTCGGTAGGACCACTTTGTGTGGCTTGAGCAATGCCCCAACAGAGCAGGTGGCCATGTTTCACCCCAGGTCTCTTCAGATTCTGTGGGATTCTGATGGAGTCTATTCTTAGGCCCATTATCATTTAGGCTAGCATCACATACGCAAGAAAGCGACCTGACCACAAGAATGGTAAGAACCAGTTAAAGGGGAAATTAACATGCTTCTACTCTGTAACCAGGACAACACAGGTTTGTACATTTAAGAAAGGCCTTGTAAGTTGCCCTTACAAACTGAGCTACGGTCCTTGACAATCGATGGATGACCCGGAGGTCTAGTATTATGAAGGAGAATTCCCACTCCAACCTCTCCGCTGTTTCTGATTGTATATATTTGCAACATATCCCTCGTCTAGAATCTGTTTTCTCGACGAAAAGCGGCTTCAGCTATTCCCTGTAGAGAAGGTTCACCAATCTCCTGAGATTCAGCTGCTCTTTTCTGTCAGTTTTCCAGCTTCATGACACAAGTTGTGTGATCTGGTGTAAACTGCTATTCATAGCTGTCAGTGTTGACTAAAAATGCAGGAGAGGTCTGCCTGCCAGCTGCCTAAACTGGGAAGCGTACCAGAGAGTTGGGCAAATTGTGAAATGCCTTGTTTTCACGATGCCAAGACTTTTAGTCTTCTGCATCCATGTAAACCGATGCTGTCACCTGTCATTTGCACAGTTACTTCATGCCGTGCTCTTAACTTGCCGTGTGAAAGAGCTGCAAAGTTGCCAAGGTGAGCTGAAGTTTTGCAGAAGGAGGTGGCTTTTTCTAGGAAAGCTCTGCCCTCACCATGTATGTGCAATGGTCAGTGCCGGATTTACATATAAGCTAAACAAGCTATAGCTTAGGGCCCCACTCTCTTGGGGGCCCCAAAAAAAAATTAAAGGAAAAAAACAACTGTATGTACATTTCCAAACCTATCCATTCTTAAGGAAATCAGCCCTGAGTGCTCACTGGACAGACAAATCCTGAAGCTGAGGCTCCAATACTTTGGCCACCTCATGATAAGAGACGACTCCCTGGAAAAGAACCTGCTGTTGGGAAAGATTGAGGGCACAAGAAGAAGGGACGACAGAGGATGAGATGGTTGGACAGTGTTTTTGAAGCTACCGGCATGAGTTTGACCAAACTGTGGGAGGCAGTGGAAGACAGGAGTGCCTGGTGTGCTCTGGTCCATGGGGCCATGAAAAGTCGGACATGAGTAAACAACTAAACAACAACAACAACAAAAACATTGGCTGCAGCCCACCATAGGATTTTAGCCTTGTAGCCCAAATGAAGTGTCCATGAATAGAAGCCCACTGAATGAGCCCAGATTTTTGGCAACAAGCAATGGGAGCAAGTTCCTGCCTTCATATTATTTATTATCTATTGCATTTATATCCCACCTTTTTCTCCAAGGAACTCAATGTGGTCTGCATGCTTCTCCTCCTCCTCATTTAATCCCCACAGTAGCCCTGTGAGATGGGTGAGGCTGAGAGTGAGTGACTGTTATTCATTGAGCTTCATGGCCCAGTGGAGATTCAAAATCTGGTCTTCCAGGTCCTCTTCCAGGACTCTAACCACTACACCACATGGTTTGTACCCTACTTGAGTTTCCCAATCAGTTGGAAAGAGGATGCTGTTTTGTCTAATGATCACTGTTTTATCCTTATTGCTTTACCATGTTTTGGTTTCGGTTTTATGCCATAAGCCAGCTCAGGAAAATGTTGATGAAGAAGGGAAGATATCAACTGATGAAATAAACACATACACAGACAAACAAACTCAGCAGGGCAGAGCTTATATTCTTCCACCACTGCAGAGATCATCTCTGGAAATGGCATGCATCTTTCCCCGCTCAGAGGTATAGGTGAGCTCTTCCCACCCAGTGATAAAAATAATGGGATGGGGAATTTTATTAGCTGTGGATGGAAGATGTTTCCACTTCAAGAGTTTCTCTGCTGTACAGCACTTTTTATTCCTTCTTTCATAGCTGCTGGGGAGGGGCACATTGACAAACTGGAAAGTGTCCAGAAAGGGGTTTTTAGGTTAGTGGGGAGTCTGAAAGCCACAGTGTATGTGGAAGAGTTGTAAGCACTGGGTTTGTTTTACACAGAGAAGAGATGACTAAATATCTGAAGGTTGTCATGCAGGAAGATGGAGCAAACCTGTTCTCTTTTACTCCAGAGGCTGTCCTATGTGTGAAAATGGGACTTTTTTTTTAGCTAAATATTTGGTGAAACTGCCTTAAAAATGAAGAATAATTAAATAAATGTTAGAGTTGTGGAACTGACTGCCTCAGGAGATAGTGAATTCTTCTTCCCTGGAGACATTTTAAGCACATCTTGGCTGACCATTTCTCACAGATGCTGTGGTTCAACGGCCAGGGAGTTGGACTCGAAGGAATTGTCAGGAGTTCAGCCTACACTTGAGTAGGACCCTGGCAGAGACACATGCCTGACTGGCATGTTTCCTCCCTCCTGATCAATCGTTCAGGAGCTTCAAAAGCTTTCTTCAGCCCAAACATCACAGCAACTGATGCCAACCGACACCGGCACACTTAGGGATCCGCCGAGTTTGCGCAGTTGCGTAACAGACCTCAGCAACTCAGCATTTTGGCTAATCTACTTTATTTACATATAAACACACGTGGAGCACTGCAACATGGCTCCTCTCTCTCTCTACCATCAGACAGCAGAGAGAAAAGAACAAAGGACAATAGTCCCACTTCATGGAACACAGTAACACAAACATCCTGTCTCCGTCACTTCCCACTCTGTGCAGTCAAAACACATACCGTCATGTGAAAGACAAAAATCCCATGATTGCAATCATAGATTAGGAATTCTAACAGGAATTCCTATCCCAATCTTCCTCTCCAAGGAGCCCATCTCAGATAACACCCAAGATCCTCCCTCCAACTCTAAAAATATTATATTACCTCCACTGTTCATTTTGGACAAGACAATGGCTGGATTTCCCCAGACAGTGAGCACTGAAGTATTTGACCCTCTGGGTTCTGAACGTTTCCCTATGAAAGCATCAATGAAATCTGGTAAAATGTTCAGTTAGCTAAGGAGAAGAAAGTTGAAATTATTAGCAAACCATACTAAGAGCATATTTCTTCCCAAATGTATTCCAATCCGGCTTGCTCGCTTCTGCAACGTTTTGCTATTCAGTGCCATCCCTCTGATGCAGAAATTAAATAAAAGGTCTCCAAAAGGATACATTTGCATTCCTCAATACCTAACAGTTAGGAGGAACTTGAAATTGTATCATAAAGAGTAATGGCACGGCAGTAACTCCCCTTATTTCACACCTCCACATGTGAAGTTCAGAATGGCCCGTTTTCTTCCCCCAGTAACAACTTTATGGGACTCCTTTCCAATCTCTGACTATGATGAGATAGTAAAGTCCAGTTCCTACAGTAAAGACTTCCCAGCAAAGACTTCCCTCCTTGCTGGAGTGCACTTTCAAGAGCGGCAGTTGAGATGAAGATCGTAAGAATGTAAGGATCTCTTTCTCCTAGGAATTAAAGAGACAGAAGTTCCAAAAAGAAGATGACTAATTTGTTTATAGAGGGATGCGGGTGGCACTGTGGGTTAAACTACAGAGCCTAGGACTTGCCGATCAGGAGGTCAGCGGTTCGAATCCCTGTGACGGGGTGAGCTCCCGTTGCTCGGTCCCTGCTCCTGCCAACCTAGCAGTTCGAAAGCACGTCAAAGTGCAAGTAGATAAATAGGTACCGCTCTGGTGGGAAGGTAAACGGTTTTCTGTGCACTGCTCTGGTTCGGCAGAAGTGGCTTAGTCATGCTGTACATCGGCTCCCTCAGCCAGTAAAGTGAGATGAGCGCCGCAAACCCAGATTCAGCCACGACTGGACCTATTGGTCAGGGGTCCCTTTACCTTTACCTTTAATTTGTTTTTGCTATGTAACAACAGTGGCTAGGATTCTCTGCACACAAAAAAATGGAAGGAAGAAGAAGTTCCCACCAATAAAAGAATGGATAAGTGTAATAATTATAGGGGTTGCTCGTGCGTAAGTTGCTGCCACTCCTGGCTAGGTTGCCTGGTTAAACCTTTTCTGTCTGGACAGCCCTTCACTTCGTGGCTGTTTCAGTCGCTAGCAGAATCCGTCAGTGGGCGTTTCTTAAACCTTTTCCAGCATAAAAGCTGTTTGACGCCAAGTCTCCTCCTACTCTCCCTGTGCGGAAGTCTTCTGCGCAGGGAGGGTGTGGGTAGCGGAGGACCCGTGCTCTCCCCGCTGGTCTCCGGCGAGGAGTCCTGGAGCCCCTCGCCGATTCCCCATCTGCCCCCTTTATCCCTGGTGTTACGCTGATTTCCTTCCCCAGCTGATGAGCTGCGTCTCTCCCTGCTGGGCCCTTCTCCAGCATCGCTTGGGAGCCTTGCCTCCGCCTCTGGCTCCGATGTTAGTTCTCTGACAATAAGTAAGGTGTTGGACTATGAAGAGAGGGCAAAAGAAGAGAATCTAATGATGATTGCTTTGCAGAAGAATGGAAGCCCTTTCTGGACTACTCAAGAGAACATTAGAGGTTTTTTATAAAAATATATATTAAATTTTCACAATTGAACAGTAAATATAAACCACAGAAATAATAATAATAATAATAATAATAATAATAATAATAATAATAATAATAATAATAATAATGGAATATTACAGTTTGAAGAACTCATGAGCAGGATTTGAAATATGAGCTGCGGAAAGAATTTGAGAACATAGTACTGAGGCATTAAGAATTAGAAGACAATGTGCAGCTGGTGGGGGAGAGGATTAAAACACAATGGAAAATGGGGTGGGAAGTTGAGAAAAATCCCAAGAGCCATGTTTTAGACATTTTTTGTTGTTGTTAAAAAAAAGAGATTGCCCAAGATTTTAACTGATTTTATATCTACTGCCTTTCGCATTTTTCCTGTTGCTACGATAAGGTTACCAGATTTTTCCCAATGAATCCGGGGACACTTTTCAACTTCAATGGATCTTGTATGGGGACTGATTTGTAAATCTGGGGACTGTCCCCGGGAAACAGGGACGTTTGCTAACCTTATGCTACAATAATTGCTTTTGCTATTGATGTTTTTTGATCTGCTTTATATTTGATTTAATGGTTCTTTTTTGTAAGCTATTTTGGAAATTGCGATTAATAAAATGAAAAAAAAGATAAATTTATAGAATCATAGAATCATAGAGTTGGAAGAGACCACAAGGGCCATCGAGTCCAACCCCCTGCCAAGCAGGAAACACCATCAGAGCACTCCTGACATATGGTTGTCAAGCCTCTGCTTAAAGACCTCCAAAGAAGGAGACTCCACCACACTCCCTGGCAGCAAATTCCACTGTCAAACAGCTCTTACTGTCAGGAAGTTCTTCCTAATGTTTAGGTGGAATCTTCTTTCTTGTAGTTTGGATCCATTGCTCCGTGTCCACTTCTCTGCAGCAGCAGAAAACAACCTTTCTCCCTCCTCTATGTGACATCCTTTTCTATATTTGAACATGGCTATCATATCACCCCTTAACCTCCTCTTCTCCAGGCTAAACATGCCCAGCTCCCTTAGCCGTTCCTCATAAGGCATCGTTTCCAGGCCTTTGACCATTTTGGTTGCCCTCCTCTGGACACGTTCCAGTTTGTCAGTGTCCTTCTGACAGTTTGTCAGTGTCCTTATGATGTACTGAAAATTAATTTTGAAAAATGAATAGAAATTTATCACAAAAGGGAGAAAAGAATGTAAGAAGAGCTTTGCTTGCTGGATCAGGCCAAAGACCCATCTAGTCCTACTCTACCAAGCAATAATTCAGAAAGTGGTAGACTCTCCTTTCTTTGAGGTTTTTAAGCAGAAGTTAGAATAATAGAATTGTAGAGTTGGAAGGGACTCTGAGAGTCACCCAGTCCCAACCCCCGCAGTGCAGAACTCTCAACTAATATCATCCATGACAGTTAACCATCCAACTTCTGCTTAGAAACCTCCAAGGAAGGAGTGTCTACCATCTTCTGAAGGAATCCCTTCTATTGTTGAACAGCTATTATTGCCAGAAAGGTCTTCTGAACTTTCCCTAGATCTGAAAAACACACACACCTACATCCTTGATCCATTGTGTCCATGATTAGGTCCTCAGGAGAACCATGGCATCCAATTCAGGCTCTGAAGTAATTGTTTAATGTTTGGTTTTCTGATCCCAGTTCCACAGTGAACCAGATGTAGACATCCTTTGCCCACCACCAATCAAAGTCATGAAAATGTGAAAATGACTGGAAGAGAAATACTCCTTCCACCTTTAAAGCAACCCTCTGTAGTGTCCAGTGCCAGATTTACGTATAAGCTAAACGAGCTATAGCTTAGGGCCCCATTCTCTTGGGGGCCCCAAAAAAAATTAAAGGGAAAAAAAACCTGGATGTACATTTCCAAAATATAAAAAACAAATAAAATAAAACCTACATACAGCAACATTGTTTTGTGTTGTGTAGGCTCCTATGATGTAAGTCATGGGCCCCGCCTGCTAGCCTGCTCCCTAAAATATCACGGCTTTGCTCATTTCTATATATAGGGTGCCTACATTCTGAATGGAATGTATTTCGGTTCAACACTTACTTTGATAAAATTGACTCTGTGCCAGTCTGAGCCAAATCAGGCTGTTTTATAAAGCACCAAATCAGGCTCCATCTCCATTACTGTGCTTACTACACACCACTTTGATATAAGAGTAATTGCTGCTGCCTTGCATCCGTAGATATGCTTTTCTCTTTGGTGCTTACAGGGCATTCCTGGTTTTTTCCCATTTCATCCCACTGAGACCTCTGCAAAGTAGGTCAGCCTCATATAACCATGGCTGAGCTCTGCATCTTCCCAGTTCATGGCTGAGCAGGGATTTGAATACAGATCTCATTTCTCATGTGTGATGTTCTCTCCATATCACCACACTATGCTATGCTGCTACTCTGCATTCAGCTAGGGTGGATTCTGTCTTGGTGTACCTGCACAGTGACCAGAAGGACCACAAGCCAGTGCCATCACTCTATCCTTGTTGCAGTAGGCACATCATAGGCCATCTACACCTGTCCCAGTTCATGTCCTCCCCATGACCATGGTTGCCACCTGGTGTATGTACACAATCCTCTTCCCTTTTGTGACTGCCACTTGGCGGATAAATCGTAAACTGCAACTCCAAACTCATACATCAATTTCTCTCCGAACCCTTTGACCAGTGGTTCTCAACCTTCCTAATGCCGCGACCCATTAATACAGTTCCTCATGTTGCGCAAATGGCTTTAGATACCTATTATGTCCATAAATTACCGTATAGCATATATTCAGCACAAAAAACAGTGGCAATTTGTTGTTGACAAAGGACAGCTGGACATATAAAGGGCCCCATTACCTTCAGTAGCTCAGGGCCTCATCAAACCTAAATCTGGCCCTGGTAGTGTTGGAGGAAGAAGAAGAAGAAGAGGAGGAGGAGGATGAGGAGGAGGAAGAGGAAGAGGAAGAGGAATTTGGATTAAACATGTGGCTCCCTTGATCACATTTCATTTAGAAAACTATACATTTCCCACTACCCTTTAGCCCAACGATTGTGGCACCTGTATCGCTTCCTCCGGCTACCAGAGCACTTGGTAAAATTGTTCCTCAACATTTGAACTCAACATTTTAATTTTAGTTCAAAGAACAGTGCATGATTATTAACATTTTCTCTCAACCAGATACTCCTGCACTTTACGGTCTTAATGAAAAGCTAATTAATTTTCCCCCCCTCCTGAGCTGTTGTAATTTCTCCCCCCCCCGCCCAACTTGCTGATTTCCAATTTGACATTCTGCATTAATTAGATAAGAGGAGAAGCCGATGGGAGGGGGCTTTAATTGCCTCAGAAAGGGGGAGGGGATTTAATTCCCGACAAAACGTCTTTATCTTCTATCAAAGGTGAGCAAGGCAGAAATTAACTGCCAATGCAAGAACTCCCACCCCCACTCCCCGCCCACGGCGAAAACTTATCTAGCATGAAATGCCACGCAGAAAGCATGTTTGCCTTGCTCCGGGATCTCTTGGGTCTCTCAGAGTTTGTTCTCTTGAACAAGATGAAGAGATGCATTGCAATTCCACACGGAAATGAGCGCTTGAGCTCAAACCAGGGAAATCCATAAGTACACGCTTAGCTTCGCAGAGGTGAATGGTCGGGGTTGCAAATTTCTATGTATTTCCCATGAGGTTATAGCCCTGTCAGTTTCATATAATTATATATTTTGTATAGATCTTAGAGGCTGAAAGCTACAGGAGAAGTTTCTGTCCACTTAATGGAAGGCTTTTAGTGTTCCTTGAAATTCCTGCAGGTCTGTTGCTTAACCCTTCTTAATTTGCCTCAGAGGGTCTTGCACATAAAAAAAAAATGAGGGCCCCTGTAGTATGCAAATGATTAAAGAACGCCAGTGCTCCTAAGATTTTGTGCAGGGATGAAAAGGGAGAAAGCCTAAATGGTGCACAGAAGAGAATTTAGTGGCCAACGTGTTACAAATTCAGAATCTTAGGACTTCCGGGTTAGCGCCATCGGCGAATGGCGGAGTTCCTCCCACTGGAGGAACTGGCTCCGTGGAAACTGGGTCTTCCCGCCGCGGCGAAAGTGGGGACCCGCTAGAAATACCAGGCGGAGGAAGCCTGGGAATGTGGGGTTCGGCAGGGCACCAGGAGCGCCCCCCTACTCACGGGGAACCCCTTTTTGGGATTCCAGAGTGAAGTGGGGTGAGTGGCGCAGTGCTGCGAACTGACTGCTACTTTCACGGAGTGAAGCCGCACAGCCATCGCCGGAGAGCGCTGACTTTTTCCTGTGGACAATTGGATCTAAAACAAGTACCCGTGAGTAGAAACGGAAAATTGGATCAAGAAATATCTTAATTTGACATCGAAGCAGGAAGGTTCAAAACAGGAAGTCCGCCTTCCGCTTTTTGTATATAGACTGAAGCAAAAACCTTGTAAGCTAAAGCCTGGAAAGTCGTTAAAAAAGCCTAAATTTCCTTCATTTATAACTACTGAAACCCCCTTGGAAGCAGGAGAACGGGGGGTGGGCCGTTGGGTAACGCCTGCAGGAGAGGGAGTGAAGAAAGATAAGTTTCCACCGTCTCTAACCTGGGAACGGGGTGTCAGAGACAGAAATTGTTGGAGAGGTTCATTGACTGTGAATGGAATACTTTGACAGATAGCTAAAGAAGAGAAATAAACTGATTCCAATGTTGCCTTTTGCATTCTAAAGAAACAAAATATCTGAAAAAATGAAAGTAATTTTCCTTTGTTGGACTTGCCTTAAAAAGATGGATACAAATAGAAATTGTCTCCTCTAGAGGAGCTTGCTAAATTGTTGCTGCAGTCTACTTGAGGACTCCACAGCTGTGAGATTAAGATCGTGGGATTAGTCCTTTTGACCTTGACTAAATATGAGCTGGAAGGAAGTTTTGGTGCTTGCTTTATGCAAGACAAGTGCTTTGTTGGAACAGATGCATGAGAAGATGGATTTGATGAATGAGAAAATGGATTCGATGACTTGTGTGGCCAATAACTGTGGACAATTAGTGAATAGTGATACAGAAACCATCCAGGGTCCAACTCAGGAACCTGTATTGATTGGGCAAGTGCAGAAGATAATGGAGGAGGCTGCGGTTGCACCTTAAATAATACAAATGGAGAGGCCCAAGGCCCTACAGGAGCATAAGCCACTGTTTTTGAAGACTGAAGTTGGAGTGGGCCAGGGGGAATCTGGAGCTGAGGAGGCTTTTAACTTTGGAGAGACTTCGAAATATGCCCGTAAATATTTTTTGGATTATATTGATGACTGTGGGGAGTGGGACTGTGGGGAATAGGCTGGTTTGATGAGGGAGACGGAGATAACTTTGGGTTGGAACCCCCCAGAGACCTACTCCTCAATGAGAAAGGAAAGAAATTAAGAAAGAGACCAACAAAAGACAAGGAAAAGTGCAAGTATAAACAAGAAGAAGAAGATCTGCAGAAGGGACATGGAAGAGACTTAAGGGCCTCGGACATAAGGCTTCCAGGTTGATGGACTAGATGGAATGGACAGTAAGGACTGACACAACCCGAGACCAGGAAGAAGAGACGTTGGATGAAGATTGGAAGAAAATTTATAAAGAAAACTTTTTATTTAGGGAATTAGCCTAAAATTAATGAATATTAGGGAAAATGTTGGAATGAAACTATATGACTCTAGCAGAAATGATATCAGGGGTTATGTATAACTGAGTATTAAGTTTCAAGCTTTAAGGTATTTTATGGTAAGATAAGGTTAAATAAATTAAGGTAATTTGAATAACAGAATATGGGGAAAGATGGAAAGGATCTGTCGAGTTAATTAATAGGTTAAATTGTTAAGATAAATTATTTAATAAAAATTGAGAAAGATGGAAAGAATTTGCTGAAATAACTAACTAAACTAGAATACAAAAAGGGAGGTGTGAGGAGGTCAACGAAACAAGCAAATGGAAGTTAAAGATATGCAATAAGGGATTTGTGTCTTTTTCCCCCCTTTTTATATTTTTTTTTACTGTATTGTTGTATTGGTTTTTATGTTTTGCGTTTTCTCTTCTTTTTATGTATTGTAGTGTTGTTTTTTATTTTTTATTTTTCCCCTGTAATTCTGAAATTATTAATAAATATTATTAAAAAAAACCAAACAAATTCAGAATCTTGCTCGGGGCTGATTCCGATTCAGCTCTTTGCAGGAAAACCAAAACAGTTTTGCAATTAGAATTGGGGCAGGAGAGAGAGAGAGGGAGGGAGGGAGGGAGAGAACAATAAATTAAGTAAAGTATATTCACTTTTATTAGATAGGAAAACAGACTGGTATGGAATGACAGCATGGGAATATACCTATTTGCTTGCAATTTTGCAGGCTGTATCCACTCTGTAGGATAAATGAAGCAGATGCCAAAACTGTAAAGGCTGCCCTTGGGGAAACACCTTGCAGCTATCCTGAAATTTGGTCAGATTCAGGATCTTGGAAGGGGCGAAGTTGCCTGCAAATTTCATGCATTTCTGTGAAGTGGGGGGGGGTTATAATGTCCCAATTTCGAAGGGAATTCAGGCAGGCTCTGTGCCAGCCTGAGCCAAATCAAGCTGTTTTATAAAGTACCAAATTAGGCTCCCTCCCGTTACTGTGTTTACTGCACACCAGTTTGATATAAGAGTAATTGCTGATGCCTTGCATCCGTAGATATGCTTTTCTCCTCAGCACTTATAGGGCATTCCTGGTTCTTTCCCTTTCATCCCACTAAGACCTCTGCAAAGTAGGTCAGCCGAAGATATCCACAGCTGAGCTCTGCATCTTTCCAGTTCATGGCTGAGCAGGGACTTGAATACAGATCTCATTTCCCATGTCTGACATTCTCTCCATATCACCACACTATGCTATACTGCTAGTTTACAGTGAGAGCTGGACCATAAAGAAAGCTGATCGCTGAAGAATTTATGTTTTTGAATTATGGTGCTGGAGGAGACTCTAGAGAGTCCCATGGACTGCAAGAAGATCAAACCTATCCATTCTGAAGGAAATCAGCCCTGAGTGCTTACTGGAAGGACAGATCGTGAAGCTGAGACTCCAAGACGTTGGCCACCTCATGAGAAGAGAAGACTCCCTGGAAAAGACCCTGATGTTGGGAAAGATGGAGGGCACAAGGAGAAGGGGATGACAGAGGACGAGATGGTTGGATAGTGTTCTCAAAGCTACGAGCATGAGTTTGACCAAGCTGCGGGAGGCAGAGGAAGACAGGAGTGCCTGGCGTGCTCTGGTCCATGGGGTCACGAAGAGTCTGACATGACTAAACGACTAAAGAACTACAACAGGGTGGATTCTGTCTTGCTGTACCTGCACAATGACCAGAAGGACTACAAACCAGTGGCATCACTTCATCCTTGTTGCAGTAGGCGCATCATAGGCCGTCTACACCTGACCCAGTACACCTCCTCTCCCCGACCATGGTTGCCACCTGGTGTATGTACCCAATCGTCTTCCCTTTCGTGACTGCCACTTGGCGGCTAAATCGTGAACTGCAACTCCTAACTCATACATCCAATTCTCTCTCAACCCTTAGACATTTTACAGCACCACTCCTTTGTTTACAAGGTATCAGAGAGTTCTTTTGCAGAGTAAAAGTGGCAACTTTGACCGCCATTAATAGACCAAGAAAAAATTATGTACAGTGGTACCTCTGGATGCGAATGGAATCCATTCCAGACCCCGGTCACATCCTGAAGTGAACGCAATCCGTGTCTGCGTGTGTGCAGGTCACGATTCGCCCGCTTCCGCGCATGCGCATGATGTCATTTTGACCATCTGTGCATGCACGAGTGGCAAAACCCGGAAGTAACGTGCTCTGTTACTTCCAGGTTGCCGCAGCGCGCAACCCGAAAATATTCATTCCAAAGCTACTTCAACCCGAGGTATGACTGTATTTATTTAGTAGTTAACAGCATGGCCTATGGCAATTATTATATTTTATTTGCACTAGCCAGGTCTGATAATGGACAACTAATTGGCACACTTAATTGGGTTTAAATTACTGGTGTCTTGTTAGACCTGGCATCCCTCCCCCCACCTTCCTCTTTGTCCAAGGTGGTATTCTGGGGTGGGGTGGGGGGTTGACATGCATTTAATGTGCTGGTGGTTTTAATTCTCTCTTTTTATTTGCTACGCAAATGCACAGTCGTTTGCATGCTAAAAAAAGGCTCAGCACTTTGGACAGCACCATTTTTTATTTTTTTATTGGCAGTCAGATCCTCATGAGTGACCATAGCAACAAGGGGATTTCCCTTAGTTTGCATGGCAGGGGCAATTCTCTGAGGCCCTCTCATGCTGTATTGTCCAGAATTTAGACCTTAAGACTGTTAAATTCAGAGATGAGCCTCAAATGAAAGATCACAGTCCAGTAACTGGGTAAGTCTCATTCCAGTGGTTCACTAGTAGCAGGGCACTCCTATGAAAGAGGCTTCCATCTCCCCACTCCTGGCTGTATGTTTAATTAGGTCTGTTTGTTTGTTTACGTAAAAACCACAATTTCACATAAGCTCTGCCCTTAAACTACTCTGGGGATGGATCCAGGGTGGGGAGGGTGCAAAACCTATTTTCCAGAAACAGTCCTGGATTTACAGAAGCCATCCCAGTTTCAGATATGATCCTGGAATATCCCAGTTTTTCTTAGGACACCCCTATTCTTATTGGAGAAATGTTGGAGGGTATGGAGTTATGTGAGGGACGCGGGTGGTACTGTGGGTTGAACCACAGAGCCTAGGACTTGCCGATCAGAAGGTCGGCGGTTCAAATCCCCACGACAGGGTGAGCTCTTGTTGCTCGGTCCCTGCTCCTGCCAACCTAGCAGTTCGAAAGCACGTCAAAGTGCAAGTAGATAAATAGGTACCGCTCCGGTGGGAAGGTAAATGGCGCTTCCGTGCACTGCTCTGGTTCGCCAGAAGCAGCTTAGTCATGCTGGCCAATAAAGCGAGATGAGTGCCGCAACCTCAGAGTCGGCCATGACTGGACCTAATGGTCAGGGGTCCCATTACCTTTATTGAGTTATGTGACCCTCCGAGCCAATGAGATAAATAACTGTACAACCTTTAGAAGTCATCTGAAGGCAGCCCTGTATAGGGAAGTGGTTTTTTTAAATGTTTAATGATTTATTATGTTTTTATTTATGTTGGAAGCCACCCAGAGTGGATGGGGCAACACAAGTCAGATGGGTGGTGTGTTGTTGTTGTTGTTGCAGATGATGATGGATAGGACTCCCTATTTTCATCAGATAAATATTGGTGGGTATGTGGGTGGTGCCCAGGTTAGCCTAGAGGGAGTCACCCCTGGACTGAATCCACAGAGCCAATAAGGGGTGCTGTGTATAGCCCTATTAAAAACACAAGTGCTTTTATTAAAAATACAGGTGACACTTTTTTTAGTCAATCAAAAGTGTTTTAACTGATGAACCTAATTGACCGAATGTTTCAGCTGTACAAATAATACATTTTTGAAGCGATTGGGCTTCAAATAGGTGTTTGCCACCTATGGTTACACTGGGCCAAATTTCAAATGCTCCAGAAATGGTGCACGTGATGTGGGCAGCTTCGTATGCTAGGCAAGGCAACTTTCTTGTTGTGTTTGGGACTCTTTGCTATTTTGCAAGGAAAGTACATTTATTATTATTGCCAGGTGACCATTCGAGAATAGATGGCTCAGCTGACCTTTTCCATCCAAAATGCTGCAGTTTATCACTGAGAGCACCGGTTCTGCATTTTCTTTAAAGGAATCATTTCGATGGAGTTTCTTACTTAAAAAAAAAATCCTAGACAAGAGCGATGGCTGAGGTGCATGTGGGGATTTGGCCTGGCAGATCAATTATCTTCCAGAAGGCAGCAAACTGTAAAGAAGGAGGGAGAGAGAGACGAAGGATAGGAAACCAGCTCCTTAAAATGTTACATTAGGGCACAGTAACAGCTCATTAGATTATACAAGGTAGGTGTAATTGCCCAGAAAAGATGCACTGCCGTCTAGTGATGCTTAATTTCATTGCTGATCTTTACGTACCGCTACAGCCACTCAGGAGGTGAGATCTCTACCCAGGAATCCCTGTAGTTGAAAAATGCACAGGCGTTGAGACACGCACAACACAATTTGGCCGCGTCTAAGATTTTCGGAAGCTGAAAGTGTGGCAACAAGCTTCTAGAGTTCAGAGTTATATGGGTGCCATTTTTCCACTAACCCTTCACTGAATAATGGATCTGCCCCCTGACTTGTCCTATTGCATAACATGACATCAGGGCCCAGGGCATTCTGGGAAAATGAAGATGGCCGCCGCTGCCATCACTTGCCCCTGTGCTTCTCAGTGGTGGGATGAGGAAGAACCAGATGGTTGGAGTCTCTGAATTTTTCACCACCATCACCAGTTTTCTTATCCATTTACAGTTAATTTGTAAATATTCAATAAACTATTTCCATTCTTTTATAAAAAGTTAGTTATCTTGATTTCTTCCCCCCCCCCCCCAGTACTTTTCGCCATTTCTGCATATTCCACCAGTTTTTGTATACATTCTTCTTTTCCTGTGACGACGACTTCTTTCCATTTTGGGGCAAGTAACATTCTTTCCACTGTAGTCACATACATGAATCAATTTCTATACAGTTTGGATAGTTCTGTACCTATTATTCCCAAAGGAAGCAACTTTCTTTATGCCATGCATAAAGAACATTATTCCACAAAGAGGGGCTCTGTGGCTCCCAGAGAGGACTGTGGACACTTTTTCATTCAATAAACCTCCGTTGTGTCTTCTGGGTGTGCTGGGCCCGGGGGTTAACCCGAGCAACACGGTCCAGGTCCGGTTCCGAATCCAAGGATTTGGACGAGGAGTCAGTCCAACTGGGCCAAGGCAGGAAACCAGGCTAGGTCAGGCACAGGGTCTCAGGCAGGTTCCAGCAGGCAGCAGTGTTGCTCCCGCAACCTGGGGCGGGGTCCGACAGCCTTTTATCTCTGACGGGGTAACGGTTAGGGTTAGGGTCCTGATCCTCCGGTGACTCACCTCCCTGTTTCGCCCGAAGGCGAGTACTCCTCCTGCGAATACTCAGGTCTCTCCTTCTCTCAGACCTTAGTCTCTGCAGCTTGGGAGACGTCGGTGGGTTACTAGATCCAGAGGCCACCTCAGCCTCTCTTGACCCAACTGATAGTGGAGCAGCTGTAAGTGATGGCCCAGCTGAAGGCAACAAGGTAATCCCCACATCTGGAGCCAGGGCAGGCTCAGGCCCCTGATTCGGCCCAGCTGGTGCTTGTTGCAGGGGAACCTGTGCAGACTGGGGCTCTTCAGAATCAGGCCCCAGACTCAGTTCAGATGCCGTCTGGTGCGGACTGAGACTCCTCTGGCTCCGAATCCGAGCCCGAGTCCCAGGCCATCACACCGGGCATGCTTTTTGTCACTGCCACAATGTGATCCGTAGCAGCTAGCTCTGATCTTTCCCGAACCCTTTTTCTTTTTGGAAAGGCTCTGTGTGGTACATTCACCTCTTCTTCCTCACCCATTCACACAGTCCATCCATCCTCATTTGCTGCTCTCACGATTCCTACCCCCCACCCCTGCTGGTTCATATGCAACACATGGCAGCTCTGAGTGCTCTCCAGTGCAGAACTTGTAGGACATCCATTGATTCTGCCTCGATTGAGAATGTTACGATGGCATTGGGGCAGAAAATAGAGTGTGCTTTAATGTGACACTTGAAGGCATGTGCGAGCCAGACAAATGGGGAGTGGGAACAGAGGCACAGCAGAGCGAGAGCATTGTTTTTCTATCTAGAAAATATTTTTTTAAAATAAAAATCAAGTTGTTGAAGTTTAAAATCTCTCCCTGGGCGCTTATCATGCTGAGATATGAACAGTTTGTTATGTTTCTTCCAGGTGGTATGTAACTTTTCCCCAGAAGCAGAAGGTAACTCTGCAAGCGTTCCCCTCACCATCGTAATATGATAGTCATCTTTAAACATCTGAAGGGTCGTCGCATGGAAGATGGAGAAAGCTTGTTTCCTGCTGCTCCAAACCAAGGGATTGAAATGAAAAGGAAGGAAATCTTGAGTAAACATCGGGCACAACTTTCTGGTGGAAAGAGCTCTTTGACAGTGGAACTGTCTACCTTAGAAGGTGGTGGAACTTCACTGAAAGTTTTTAGCAGAGGTTGGATGGGCATCTGTCAGGGATTCTTGAACTAGATGGCACTTCCGACCTGCGATGCTTCGAGCAAAAGGACATAGCTCAGTGGTAAACAGATCATCTGTTTTTCATGCAGAATAATAATAATAATAATAATAATAATAATAATAATAATAATAATAATTTTATTTATACCCCGCCCTTCCCGGTTCAGAAAACCAGGCTCAGGGCAGCTAACAACAAATTTAAAACACTTAATTGATGCAACAAAAACAGCACAAAATACAGTATAAAACGTGAATAACAATAAATTCAGAATGCAAAAATCAATTTAGGGGGAAAATCCATCCAATAAACATTAGATGATCACCAGGGCTAGCTGGCTAAATTAGTCCTATTTGGGCCAGTGTGAGACCAGGGGAGAATTAGCTGTGGGATCCCAGAGCGGGTAATCTTCATAAAAGGGGAGGAGGAGGAAAGGAAGGGGAATAAAAGATCAGGCTAAGTTCAAATTGAATGCCAGGTGGAATAGATGGTCTCAAGTTCAATCCCCAGCATCTCCAGGAAGGCCTGAACCCCTGTACAGCCACTGCCAGTCAGACAATAATAGAATAATTATTGCAAGAGGCACATCAGTTATCTAGTCCAACCCCTGCATTGCAGGAATCTCAGCTAAAGCATCAATGCCAGATGACCATCCAACCTCTACTTAAAAACCTCCAAAGAAGGAGAGTCCACCACCTCCCAAGGGAGACCATTCCCCTATCAGTGTAGACAGTACTGAGTTACTTGGACCAATGGGACAAACTCAATAAAAGATAGTTTCTTATGTGCCCACTTCCCTCTGTTTTTCAAGCACAGGGAATGTGTTGCCTTGCAGATCTCCCATTTATGTTGTAGTGAGGAGGGTGGAGAAACCCATATATGAAAACCAAAGAATATGTTTTCAAAACTGAGCACCAGCAAATTGAAGAACGCTGGAAATTAAACTCAAGTGAGAAATGCGACCTGACATGTCTGAAATGGAACTCTTAGTATACAGTTTGTGCATTGTAGGAACACTCTGCTTTCCCTAACCCAATTTTTGTGCAGTTTTGCCTAGTTCTGCTCCTTGGAACAGACAAAGCAAAGGCTGTGTCATCCAGCATAAACGAATACCAAAGTAACGTGGAGAACATAGACTGGAGAGACAGCTAACATTTGCAGGGAACAAAGAAATCTTGTTCACTCCTTCAGCGGCAGCTTCTTGCTTAAGAAAAATTTAAATAAGTGATGTGCATGTGCGTTGCTGTCGTCACTGCTGTTGTTGCAGACTACAAATGTCAACTGCTTTGATGGGCATCTACTAGAGATGGGGAAAAGTTAACATTTGCAGGGAACAAATTTATAATGACTTGATGCCAGTGTCATCCCTAAGACAGGAACAGGCCAATGGAGGAGCCTTTGGGAAACAACCAAAGAAAGAGATAAAAATCCATCCAAACCGAAGACCTTCAAAGCAACTGCAAATAGCCTCTGTTTAATTGACTAACAACTGGCCAAACTTTATTAAAGCCACTGCCTAATGAAAAGCTCTCCTTATATAATACTCTCCATGCTGAAAGCACTTTGTGATTATTATAAGCCACTTATGCTCTAGCAGCCTCAGCTAGGGGAATAATGCAAAAGCCTGACTGTTGTGCAAATATTTGTTCGAAATTTCATGCCAATTTCATTTGCTTGTGCTGCCACGAGTTTATCATTATTGCTTTCATGTGTGCTGGCAGAAGCCGTTGCCTTAAAGTGATTACTGGAGAATTGCATTGGGGAAGGTTTGTTTGGAATGCATAAGCATCCAACGTGCTTTAGCAGCCAGGCAATTTGTGATGGACCTCTCAGAGAGGAGGCAGAGCTTAGCAGCAAAGATAGGCAAAGGATTCCTTGTTCAATACTTGGTGACCTCAAATTTGGGGAGGTTTTCTAATCAAAGGCAGAAACATTCAGAAATATGCCTGCCTGCCACCTTGGAAATTAACTACTAGTCATAGTAGGCTGGATGGTTATGCTCTGCCTCTTCAAATATCAGAATGGAATATCCTATGGAAGATGGAACTTGTTTTCTGATGTTCCACAGGGCAGGACCCAAACTAATGGATTCAAATTAGAAGAAAGCAACCACTGGCTAAACGTTAGGAAGAACTTTCTGATGGTAAGCATTGTTCAACAGCAAAACAGACTCCCATGAGAGGTGGTAGACTCTCCTTCCTTAGAGGTTTTCAAGCAGATGGCCATCCGTCAGGGATTCTTTAAGCCTGGATAGCTCAGTTGGTTATAGCATGGTGCTGATAATGCCATACCTGAAGGAGCGTCTCCTCCCCCATCATTCTGCCCGGACACTGAGGTCCAGCTCCGAGGACCTTCTGGCGGTTCCCTCCCTGCGAGAAGCAAAGTTACAGGGCACCAAGCAGAGGGCCTTCTTGGTAGTGGCGCCTGCCCTTTGGAACACCCTCCCATCAGATGTCAAAGAAATAAACTATATGACATTTAGAAGACATCTGAAGGGAAGTTTTTAATGACTGATGTTTTAATGTATTTTTAATCTTTTGTTGGAAGCTGCCCAGAGTGGCTGGGGAAACCCAGCCAGATGGGCGGGGTAGAAATAATAAATTATAATTATTATTAAGTTTGCAAGTTTGATCCCCATATGGGACAGCAGCATATTCCTGCACTTGATGATCTTCAGGTTCCCAGCCAATTCTACAATTCTGTGATTCCATGATTATGATACCAACAACAAGAATCCTGAAAGTGGGAAGGGAGCAGTGGCTGGTGAGATAACCAGGAATACAACCTGAAGCGGCTCTGCCATTGTGGCTATGATGAAATAACAGGAAGTGTTAATTGGTTTGTGATGGGGTCAAGGGTCAAGACTTCCACCTGGTGCCCAGGTAACAGACCTAAGCTGTGGCATGCTTGTAAAGCATTTATGAAGGGGAGTTCTGTAAGAAGACAGACTGGGGATTGACCTCTTTGGCCACCACTCATAATGTGAGACTTCCCTCTCAATTCCCCCTCAATTTCAGGACTCATAAATCACTCCAGAAAGCCCCCAGAAATCTTTGGCATGATGAATGGGGGAAATACTTGTTGAGTGAAACTGAGCTAATCTTCCTCCAACATAATAAGAATAATTCCTCGTCAGGCCTCACACTCAATGAAAAATGATTCTTGCCAACGTATTAGGCCCATGAAAGAGGTTTTGATAATAAAGCTGTGTAAAACCAAGGCATTTGTCTTGGAATGGAAGGAAGAGGGGAGATTAGGGGAACACTCAGAATAATGCAGAGGCAATGAAATACCATTTACAGTAAGAGCTACCACAATGGCTTCAGTTGAATATGATTCAGGCCTGGTTGGAAATACCGCTCTAATTACTGCATGGTAGTAATTGATTTAGCTAAAGAGCTTCCTGCCATGCTGTTACCACATGGAAAGGAGAGACTTCTTTGAAGGAGAAGCGGTGGGGGATATTATGAGATTTCAAGTGTTTACTTATGCCAAAATAAAGGAGTTCTGGGTCAACTGGAAAGGTTGTAAGGAATGAGGCAACAGAGATTTGGCCATCAATTAAAAAAAAGGAGAATGTGTACATGGAACAGCCACCAAGGTCTTGTTTATAAGGTATTGCTTGACCTGAGGATAAGTTCTCAAGAACTATTTCAATATAAATATATCCTCTTGGGTCTGTGCCAACTGAGCAACACCCAGAGGTTTGGCAGGATCCATGAACAAGCAGAGGGATACACTTTGACTTGACTGGATTTTCCTTCCTTCACATAGAAGCTGGGGTGCTGTGACATGGAGTCAATAAACTGAACATCAATCATGATTGTTGAAGGTTAACTTTGCCCATAGAAGTGATGTTCAACCAGCTCTGATGGAGGGAGAAATCCATCTAAAGAAGAGGTGGGAAAACTTTTTGTCCTCTAGGTGCTGCTGGACTCAAACTCCCATCAGCCTCAGTCTGCATGGCCAGTGCCAAGGGATGATGGGAGTTGTAGTCCTGTTACAAGTAGAAGGCCAAAGTTTCTCCTGAAAGAATCAGGCATGAAATCTGGACATGCTATTAGATACATCTTTATCACTTGAGGACAAAGTAGTCTTTGGGTCATGAAGAACCTTCTGAGGCTGATATGTTGACTATGACTCAGACAACAATCATGTGCCCACATTTTCCCTAGTAACTTCTAGGTTGTGTTACTGCAATGCCCTTTATATGGGGCTGCCAATGAAAACTGCAGCTAGTTTAAACCTCTGTAACTAGAATGGTAGCAAGGACTGGGTGAAGAGATAATATCTTGTTTATATTTAAGCAACTGCGTTGCCTTCCAGTAAGTTTCCAAATTCAATTCAATGTGGCAGACTTATGGTGTAGGACCCAAATACCAATTCTTCCGCCTTCTCTGGCATCCACTACTAAATCCACTGAGATCATCAACTGAGGCTATTCTGATGACTAGCTGTTGGTGGGCAGTTGAGGGTGCGAGCAGAATCAAGGGCAGCAATTCTGTTTGAGGTGGGCAGAGCCCACCTTGATTCTGACTGCAACAATTCTTGCATGGGTTCTTGGATAGTCAAGCAGGCTTGCTTCAAATTCATGCCCTGCTCCTACAGTGATCAGGGCAGAAGCATCAGAAATAAGAAAAATAGTATCAGGACAATTCAAAATCTTCCTGGAAGTGTGCTGCCTTAAGCTAGCAAGTGAGTAAAATAACTCAGAAGGGAGTTCCACAGTTTTGGTGCCACCACAGAGAAGGCTCAGTTCTTTGTCATCACCGACTTGCAGTGTGGGGGTTGGGGGTAACTTGAGCAAACAGTAGTATGAGGAAGCAGGTCTCCATCTCCTCCTTAGTTATGCTGATACCCGAAATTGGTTTGCATGAAATCTAAGGGTCCTACGCAGATGCAAATACTGTATGGCTTCTTTTCAAGCTGCAATCTGCATGCAAATGTTATCCAAGTCCCTACACTGGCAATGGCCTTGAGTGTTTCAGGGTTTAAAAAAATAAGTACTGAGTTAACTGGAGACAATTCAGGGGGAAGTGCTATATTAGTGGTGGGTGAAGAAAAGATCAGAATTATTTCTGAATTGTTCTAATCTCACGCACCAGTGCTTCAAAGGAGCCCTTTAGAGTCAATTTACGCTTTGACCATTGACTAAAATCTAATAACTTTGCTAGCAAATGAGGCATGAAATGCTGTCAGTAGGACCTTCAGTATGCAACACGTGGCATTAATATTCAGTCTCATGAGCTAACCTATGGCTCGATTGAAGGAGATCTCAGATTCTGCGTCGCTTTAGTGGTCCACACTCACATTTGAGACTATTCCAAAACTGGTTGAGATTCATTCCGTGAATTAAAACACAGTGAGATTGTTTTTGGTGCTTTGTGTGTGTGTGGACCTAGAGTCCTAAAATGATGTTGACAAAGAAAAGTGAATTTAATCAGAAAAAGTAGACGCACATGGTGTGTATAAATTCTCACTAATGTAGTCAGCGAATGATTCTCTCTTTGAGAATACACACATACACATTCACCCTTGTACTGCAAACATATGGTGTTCAGCATATGTTTGGGAACTGTGAGGAGTGGTAAACATGTGCATAGTCCCTATATCTATGTCTCTATACAAAAGCTGGTTGCTAACATTCCATCGCACTTTAGCTGTGTAGGAGGCAGGTGTGGGTCTGCTGCTAGATCTCTGTAGATTAGCAAAAGTCTCTGGCTCCCAGTTGCTTAACGAATCCAACAACCCAAGTCTTTTCCTCCTCACCAATGAAAGGAAGATAACTGTCAGGCTTGGTGGACTCTATCCTCCCCCAGCAACTTCAAGGATCAAGGAAGAAGCAAGGGAGTTCATATTTATGGTTTTATTCAGTTCTCGTGGTGCAAGACAAAGATTCCAGTCCTTAACTCCATAGTGACGTTGCTCACTCTGAACTCCTCCCCTTCTTTCCCTAGCAGCAGCCTGTGGCCCTACAGGTGGCCTCAGGTGTGATGGCCTGGGACTTGGGCTCAGAACCATCATCATCTGAACCCAATCTGGGGCCTGATTTCCACAGTGTGAGACCTCAAGGCCTAGAAGAATGAATGGTTACCCAGCAAAAGTTATTTTGTTCATGCGATGACTGCATCTTATGCAACCCATTGAGTATATCTAATGTTTATTGAGTTTTATTTCTCTTACTTGAACTGTTTGGTCTGTTTGTGGTGTTACACTGTGGAGAAGCAACTCCCACATGGGGGGAGGGAGGAATGACCCAGACTTTTCTTTTTTAAGAAAGTCTCCAAAGTTACCAATGTGTCTTCTTTTTCTCTGAACCAAGCTGTTGGGGAGAAGAGAAGAGAACTGGACTCTTCAGGAGCTGGTACATTTCCATATTGAGTATTATATCCCATCTGGGTCTTCCCTCCTGCAAATATGGTTTGTTATTATCAACAAACTGTCAAGGGAGCAGGGACGTATGGCAGCATATCTCTACCTTTTCAAGATGCTAATAAAATAAAATAAAAATCCCAGCAACAATGCGGAGAGAGGAAGCACAGAGATGTCATTTTCTTCTAAGATGTAGAGATCCCCCCCTCTGTCTTTATGCTATGTGGAATTATTGGATGTGATGGCTCTAAAACATATGCTTCTGCATCTGTCATTCCCCGGCGGAGTTGTCAGTGTGGCAAAGTCATTTGAGCCAAGATTGTGCTTCTCATCTCTCCGATCCTTTAAAAAAACAAAACAAAACAAAACCCCAGCAAGTTTTTAGATGCTCTGTTGGGAACCCAGCCTTGCCCACCTTGGTGCCGCTTCGTCAGAAGAGCATGAGATTGTCAATCTCAGGGTTGTGGGTTTGAGCCCCATGATGGGCAAAAGATGACCCTCGGGGTCCCTTCCAACTCTATGATTCTATTTAACAACAATGGGAAGTGAAAGGAAGATTTTTGGCTCAACACTTCCATCCAGAGAGCCAGTGTGGTGTAGTGGGTAAGAGTGGTAGACTCGTAATCTGGTGAACAGGGTTCGATTCCCCACTCCTCCACATGCAGCTGCTGGGTGACCTTGGGCTAGTCACGCTTCTCTGAAGTCTCTCAGCCCCACTCACCTCACAGAGTGTTTGTTGTGGGGGAGGAAGGGAAAGGAGAATGTTAGCCGCTTTGAGACTCCTTCGGGTAGTGATAAAGCGGGATATCAAATCCAAACTCCTCCTCCTCCTCCTCCTCTTCTTCTTCCTTTCTTTCCCAGGCTCCTGCAATGCTGCTAGAGCATTGACCCAGGTGCCTTGGGAAATGTGATTTTCCCAATAAGCTGCTGTAACTGTGGGCTTAGTCACACCTACCTTTCCTTATTGGCCATGTCCCATGCTTTAAAGCTCTGTGTCCATATGCTTTCCCACTCTTTCCCACAAAATCAGAGCAAACAGCGATCCACAGAAAACTCAAATTCGTTGTGCTTCAGTTTTAAATAGTGTGTTTTCATGGGGAAAGTTCTGAGGCAAAAAAAGAAGAAGCACTCGGATACAGAGCTTTAAAATGCAGACCTGTGCCTGGGAAGTGAGGGGGGAAAGCTAAGGGTGGATAAGCCCTGTGTTTCAGGGGGCAGTCCTATGGCAAAATCCACCAGGGTGAACAGCTTAGGATGCTGTTCATCTCTAGCTCAGCTGACTTCACCTGGCATTAATTCTCCAATGAATTGCATTTCTCCAATGAAACTAGGTATGTCCTGTTCCTGCTTGGCATGCTCTGGTCCATGGGGTCACGAAGAGTCGGACACAACTAAACAACTAAACAACAACAACATGTCCTGTTCCATAATAACAATTTTATTATTTATACCCTGCCCACCTGACTGGGTTGCCCCAGCCACTGTGGGCATCTTCCAACATATATAAAAACATAATAAAACCTTCAACATTTCAAAACCTTCAGGTGTCTTCTAAAGGTTGTATAGTTACTTATCTCCTTGGCTCGGCAGTCGCATAACTCCATACCATCCAATATTTCTCCAGTGAAAATAGGGATGTCCTACCATACCCGCCAATGTAGGCACATCCTAAGGAAGAGCAGGATATTCTGGGATCAAGCCAGAAACTGGGACAGCTTCTGTAAATCTGGGGCCATCCCTGGAAAATAGGGGCACTTGGAGGGTCTGGCAACCCAGCCTAGAACAGTAATTTAAAGGCTTGTTTTCCATCTGCAAAGGCTTTGTGATGGCCTGGGACTCGGGCTTGGGCTTGGGCTTGGGCTCGGATGAATCTCAGTCTGCACCGGATCCTTTGCCTCAGGTGGCATCTGAACCAAGTCTGGGGCCTGATTATGAAGAGCCCCAGTCTGCACAGGTGCCCCTGCAACAAGCACCAGCTGAGCCGAGTCAGGGGCCTGAGCCTGCCCTGGCTCCAGATGCGGGGATTACCTCGTTGCCTCCAGCTGGGCCATCACTCACAGCTGCTCCACTACCAGTTGGATCAGGAGAGGCTGAGGCAGCCTCTGGTTCTAGTAACCCACCAACATTTCCAGAGCTTCAGAGACTAAGGTCTGAGAGGAGGAGACACCTGAGTACTCGCAGGAGGAGTGCTCGCCTTCGGGCAAAACAGGGAGGTGAGTCGCCGGGGGATCAGGACCGGCCATTACCCCAACAAAGATAAAAAGCTTTCGGACCCTGCCCCAGGTTGTGGAAGCAACATTGCTGTTTGCCAGAACCTGCCTGTGATCCTGTCCCTGAGCTTGCCTGGTTTCCTGCCTTGTGTCCTGCCTTGGCCCTGCTGGACTGACTCTTGCGGAGCCCCTGGATTCGGGATTGGACCTGGACCGCGCTACTCGGGTTACCCCCGGGCCCAGCACAGGCTTCGGCAGAGCAGCAGTAGCAGCAGCCCGGTTGCTGAATGGGGTTTGGATCTGTCGTAGCGTCATACTGGCTAAACTTACCTTGGCTTGGTTTTCCTTGACTATGGTTTTCCCAGTCGTGATGTATGGAAGTGAGAGCTGGACCATAAAGAAGGCTGATCGCCAAAGAATTGATGCTTTTGAATTATGGTGTTGGAGGAGACTCTTGAGAGTCCCATGGACTGCAAGAAGATCAAACGTATCCATTCTTAAGGAAATCAGCCCTGAGTGCTCACTGGAAGGACAGATTGTGAAGCTGAGACTCCAATACTTTGGCCACCTCATGAGAAGAGAAGACTCCCTGGAAAAGACCCTGATGTTGGGAAAGATGTAGGGCGCAAGGAGAAAGGGACAACAGAGGATGAGATGGTTGGACAGTGTTCTTGAAGCTACCAGCATGAGTTTGATGAAGCTGTGGGAGGCAGTGGAAGACAGGAGTGCCTGGCATGGTCTGGTCCATGGGGTCACGAAGAGTCAGACACGACTAAACAACTAAACAACAACACCTTGGCTTGCTTTAAGCCAGTTTCTTGGGCACAGGATCTCTCCCAGAGGCACCAGTGGAAAGGGTCAAAAGACGACTAGAGCAGATTGGTGAATGTGTGGGTTGAATGAGCCCTGCTGGATCAGACCTCCTTTACTGTGGTCCGATGAAAACACCCCTCGCTCCCTGCAATGCCTAGCATTAAATTTTGAAAACGGAGATGGCTCTGCATGTTATGCATTTAACGTAACATGTAATTAGGCCCTCAGGTGAGACATCTGTGAAATTTCAAGGGAGTCTGACAGAATGTCAACAGAATTAGTGGAATATCTTGGGGGCGGGGGGCAGCGCTGCAGAGTTTTCTGGGCCATCACAAATCAATCACCAGACAAAGAATCTTCATATCACCTGAAGCTCAATGTTTTGCAGTGAAGTCAGTTCATACATTCAGCGCTGAGCGGACAAGTGAGAAGATGCAATGTGAATGTATGAATCCTTCATGACATTGAATTAGAATCAGAGAAATGTAGAATTGGAAGGGGCCCCCAGGGGTCATCCAGTTGACCCCCAGCAATGCTGCAATGGTTGGAGTCTAACCAAATGTTTGAATACTTAGAAATGCTTCCCCCTGGTTCCGCAAGTTTAAGATCCTAATCCTAACCATACTTGCTTGGAAGGATGTTCTGTTGACTTCAGTTGGGCTTACTCCTGGATAAGATGGGTTACGGTTGAGGCTTTACAATGCAAGATCCACCAGGATCCACCAGGATGAGCAAGCTTGAATAGATGGATTCCTAGGTGACCTAGTCAGGGCTATGCCAACTGAACTCCCACATCCCAGCTCAGCTGCAGTTACAGTGGGGTAAATCTTCTATCTCAGTTGAGTTGAAGCTAGGTTAAATCCTGAAAAGGGGGCACACTGGGGATGTGGTAAGGGGGAGGGACAGGGTAGGAGCAGATTCAAACCTGTTTGAAACCCATTTTGCCTTGGTCCTGTGACTTGGCAATAATAATAATAATAATAATAATAATAATAATAATAATAATTTATAATAATTTATAATAATTTATAATAATTTATAATAATTTATAATAATTTATACCCCGCCCTCAGGATGGCTAACACCAATAAAATTTCAGTAAAAACATAATTAGGAAAAAAAAAACCAGGTTAAAATGCAATTTAAAATGCAGCCTCATTTTAAAAGTCAAAACCATAAGGGGAGGGAAACATAAGGGTCAGACCGAGTCCAAACCAAAGGCCAGGTGGAACAGGTCTGTCTTGCAGACCCTGCGGAAAGATGTCAAGTCCCGCAGGGCCCTAGTCTCTTGGGACAGAGCGTTCCACCAAGTCAGGGCCAGTACTGAAAAGGTTGAGACCTCCTTTGGACTTGGGACCTCCAAAATGTTTGACTTGGGACCTCCATAATAATAATAATAATAAATTTTATTTATATCCCGCCCTCCCCAGCCAAAGCCAGGCTCAGGGCGGCTAACAACAAACAAATAATCAAACAATCAAATAATCCAATATTCTAAAACATTTCATTATAAAAATTAATTAAAATCAATTTAATGGCAACCGTTAAGCAAAGTTCTGTGCAGGTTGCCAGAGGAGGGAGTCAGGCTGGGCCCTGACCAAAGGCCTGGTGGAACAACTCTGTCTTGCAGGCCCTGCGGAAAGATGTCAGGTCCCGCAGGGCCCTAGTCTCTTGTGACAGAGCGTTCCACCAGATTGGAGCCGCAGCCAAGAAAGCCCTGGCTCTAGTTGAGGCCAGCCTAACCTCTCTGAGGCCTGGGACCTTCAGGATGTTTTTATTTGCAGACCGTAGGTTCCTCTGTGGGGCATACCAGGAGAGGCGGTCCCGTAGGTACGAGGGTCCTAGGCCGTATAGGGCTTTAAAGGTTAAAACCAGCACCTTAAACCTGATCCTGTACTCCACCGGGAGCCAGTGCAGCTGGTATAATACCGGATGAATGTGATCTCGCAGCGAAGACCCCATAAGGAGTCTCGTCGCGGCATTCTGCACCCGCTGGAGTTTCTGGGTCAGTCTCAAGGGCAGCCCCACGTAGAGCGAGTTACAATAATCCAGTCTGGAGGTGACCGTCGCGTGGATCACAGTGGCTAGGTCAGGGCGAGAGAGATAAGGGGCCAACTGCTTAGCTTGGCGGAGATGAAAAAATGCCGCCTTTGTTATAGCTGTAATCTGCGCCTCCATAGAGAGGGAGGTATCGAAGATTACACCCAAACTCTTAACGGACGGTGCTGGCACTAATTGCACCCCGCAAGAGATGGGAGTTGCCCCACCAATCCCATATCGTCCCGTCCCAGCCAGAGGACCTCTGTCTTCGAAGGATTTAACTTCAACCGGCTTCCACGTAACCATCCAGCCACAGCTTCCAAACATCTGGTCAGTGTGTCTGGGGCCGAGTCAGGATGGCCATCCATCAACAGATAGAGTTGGGTGTCATCGGCATACTGATGGCAACCCAGCCCAAAACTCCGGACAAGCTGGGCGAGGGGGCGCATAAAGATGTTAAAAGCATCGGGGAGAGTATCGCACCCTGAGGCACTCCACACACCAAGGAGTGGCGGGATGACAATTCCCCCCCCAAGCGCCACCCTCTGTCCCCGACCGGAGAGAAACGAGCGCAGCCATTGAAGGACTGTGCCCTGGATCCCCACGTCGGCAAGGCAAAAAAATGTTTGACTTGGGACCTCCAAAATGTTGTCATTTGTGGACCTTAAGGTCCTCCGCGGGGCATACCAGAAGAGGCGCTCCTGTAGTTTTGTGGGTCCTGCATAATAACATAAGATTAATTGCAAATGGGGTGGTGGTGTTGAACCAGAGGAATTTCATATCAATTTTATGTGGATTGGCCCATATGTCTGTTCCACCCTGATTCCGCATTCACCTGTGATTTCTTAAACTTAAAAACTCTTTCAAATACATAT